GAATAAATAGCAAAGAATAAACATTATACTTTATATAAATTTTACTGACATATTATAGTATTTGTTTTTTTAAAATGCTTTGTTTAGATAATACGAAAAATTTGATACAAAAAAAATATGTGATATGAATATCCTGCCATAAAAATCTAACATAAGAATTGATTAAGTTTACATACCACTAAAAGGATAATACGTAGGAAAATTTGTAAAAATGGTCGTAAAATTAATAGATACATGTCATTTTGTTATTCATATGGAGCCACCCTCCGTTTTATATAATCAGAAGGGAAATGATGTAATTCACGATTTCAAAATTATACAAAGCATAAGTATGATTGGAATTTTCAAAACAGGAAACGGACAATGTGATTAAATGAACGCAAGGAAGCGCCTTCCTGATGATTAAAAGAAGAACGAAATTTCTGCCTTAGTCATAAATATGTAATTTTACTCTGAGTACCTTCATTAAGTCCAACTTTTTATTTAAAAAAAAATCACTATTTATACCATATTGTTAATAGTCCTTTAGATACCGTCACGATTTAAAATGATAAACTGTGACTACAAATTATAAACCAGCGTTTTCATCCTTTGAGTAAACTTAGGCCGTGTTCACACTGAGGCTTAAACAAGTTTGAAACAAGTTTCGTTGAAATTTTTAACATTAATTATAAATAAATACAGCGTTAATTTTAGAAACGCTTGCAGCTATTAACTAACTTTTGAATATAGAATTTAATGCATGTCAAACAATTGATTAGTTTGTATTTCAAAGATAAAAACAATACGACTTGTGTACACAAAATATGTTTCACATGGGCAGTGTGAACGTGGCCTTATTCTCAAAGGGTGATCAATTTAACACTGTAGTTAGATCTTTGAATAACGTCTTTATCGTTACTTACACCGACTTTGTTTTTCTATAAATTAAAACATAACCAAATGTGCATTGTTATACAGTTATGAACACTTATTGTTCTAAGAATTAGCTGGATATGTACTGAGTAATATCTTAGTCTTGGAAAGCATGTTTCATTTATAAGTAGAAATGTCTGTGAACTAGCTCTCTGTAACTGAAAGTACTCTTAGATCGGTAATCCATATTTTTTATTGTGCTTCGTGGCAATCTGATGAGTAAATTCATATCCGGCTTATTTTACAGGTTGTTCATAATGTTGTGCTTATACATCATTGTCCCGGGTCTAGGATAGAATTTAGCGCTCACATTCCTTAGGTGCCTGTTACAAGTAAGGAGCCTGTAATTAAGTGGTTGTCGTTGGTTGCTGTTTGTCATATTGTTTTTTCGTTTATTGTTGTTTAGCATTAATCCGGCCGACTATTTTTATCTTTTGAATTGTTTCACATTTTGTTAAGCCGGGGCCTCTATAGCTTACCACACGGTATTGTTTTTGCTCATTATTGAAGGCCGTACGATGGCCTATAATATATTACACCTTCGTACTTTGGTATCTTGTGAACATTTGTCAATGGCAATTATAGCCAAATCTCCTTATTTTTGTATTAGCTATGGTATCCTTTATTTCAAGTTTAATGGAATAAATAAAATAATATCAGTCGTCAAACTCTGAATTATACAGTGAGAGTAGTTTTTGAGACAAGAATATACCCAGATGTCAGCGAAATCTCTATACAAATGACATGATCTTGCAGATTGAATCACATGGGTTGCCAGATGGAATGTAGCTACTCTATATAGATCGCTTGTTCGTGTATGATATCCATGTAAATGATTTTTAAATCTTTCAAATTTCGAATATAATTGTAAATGTAAGAAATTAAACTTTTGCAATGAAAATTACCGTATTTTTTATTATGACCATTATGTTTCTACATAAGTAAGCATTCATTTAGCAAAGTTTTATGAAAATCTGTGACCAAAGGTTTCCATCATATTTTGATGCTTACAGAGAATGGCTCTTAAAGGAAACACTATGAATAGAACTCATGACGTTTACTTTACTTTGGTAGTTCCTGCGTGTAGTATGCAAAACATGAAAGTATATGACGTATTCAAGTATATTTTGTATTCATATATCCATGACATTCATTTTTTTTTGTGTGAGCATTCCTGATAAAGGTAAACCCAGAAAAGTCTTACTCAAAACAGTGCTCACTGTTGGAAGTCGTACGTTGACCAATTGTTACTGAATTCTACGTCATTTGGTCAAACTTGGAAAGTTGTCTGATTGGCAATCATACCACATCTTCTTATTTTTATACCATGAGTACATAGCTACCAATTTAGAAAGCAACACACCACAGCATCGAACCACACAACTGTTATTTTCACTGCAGAATTTTTATGAACAATCTTTGTTGCATTACGTCGCTTTAACTGATTATGTAATGTATTTATAAAATTATTAAAAGAATTCCCGTAATTCAGTGTATATGAATAAAACAAGCATACACTCAAAATATATCATCACATGAAAATCGGTACAGAGCAGTTTCTACAGTGCTATGTATGTTGTTTCATAATTCTTCAAATGACCTTACCTTTCCTCTACAACCTTTATATTAAAATACAGTTCATCTTCCCAATATGAGTAACTTACCATTCTACCACATTTTTGAAAGAGACGTTAAGATGTTGTAAAAAAGTGTTGCGAATAAACCCACAAACGCATCCATTACGATGCAAGGGGTAATGGCTAAACATTTTACTATCATATCTCAATACTTATATACATATTTAAGTCATTTTTTGTTTTGATAGTCCTTTTGGTGTGTTCTGCTACTTTTTTATAGATATATTTCTAATAATTTTGGACATTTTTGCAAATCATTTGTAGTCTTTGTTAGTAAAATCGAGCAACCTATATGCTGACACTTATTTTATATATTATACAGACTCTTATGTTGAGGTAAAGTTTCTATTAATAGTATAACAAAACTTATAGTGACGTTGTTTTCAATTTGAAAACGATTCAGTGATTAAGCAATTTTTCATAGTTGATGAAAATGTAATCTGACCTTTGATCAAATTAAATGAATGTGGGTTGTTTTATCAAACACTTTTGGTAACACGAAAGAGAAAGAACAAATGTAAGAGTAAATTTCACGGTATATCATTTTCGCGTGACCAACAAAATTAAAAATGGACTGTGTGTATTAATAAAAACATCTGGTTTGATAATATTACATCGCCCCACTAATGTCAACGTCAATCGTATTACTATCATTCGTGATCAATTTTAGGCGTTGGTCTAAAGGAATTCCAAGAAGCAATTGGTCGGTATTGTTTAAAAAAAACTTCCTGCTTGTTTTGGGCCATGTAATTTCATCTATGGGTTTGGTAGCTTCCTTGTTAGTGTCGGCCCTTTTTCAAGAAGATCAGCAATATTATAGTACCAGGGAGAAATATACTAGCCAGAAGCCTGCAATTCAGAGGTTGCCGTTTGTTGCTTCATATCATATTTGTTTTCGTTTATTGGTATGTACATAAATCAGGCCGTTAGTTTTCACATTTGAACTATTTTACAGTTGTCATGTTGGGGCCTTTTATAGCTTTCTACGCGGTACTGGTTTTGCTCATTGTTGAAGGTCGTACGGTTGCCTATAGTTGAACTTCTACGTCATTTGGTATCTGGTTGTCCGTTTTCTCATTGGCAATCATACCACATCTTCTCATTTTCATATCATTATACATGTGCTGCTGTAAATGCTGCAACAACAACAACAAAAACAACTAAAACACTGGAGAGCTCACCATAACAAAATTGAAGTTATCTCTTTTGACGTTAATTTAATCTCCAAAAGACCCTTACTTTCGATTTCTGTGTCCAGGTATGAAGCAGGTCCATGCTGTATCTTAGCATCTTCTTAAATCAAATTCAATAAAATAGTCAGATATACATATACCAAAGAAACGTTGATAAATTATTAAGTGTAAGAACATCATCTTAATAGCGGAACTCAAGGTTAAAGGATTATGATGTGGTTATCTCACTTCAAACATAAAGAACTTAAGAAGGTCTCATAAAACTTGATGCTTTTGTATGCTTCACAATATATTATTTGAATTTTAAAGTAAGTAATATTCATTGCCCGTATTCTCTTCGTTTTATAATTTCCAAAACTACATGTGCTTCTAACAGTTGTACTAACTGTTCAATCCAGTAAGAATCAAATTCGTAAGAAAATATATAAATAACAGAAAGTTGAGAGGGTGATAGAGCAGATTGTTACCCCGAGAGAAATATTATTAACCGAGGCGAAGCCGAGTAAAATCTACTATTTCACCTTTGCAGCTATATGTTTTCAATTCAATATAATGAATGTTCTGATTTTATTGACTTTTAAATAATCGATTTCTGTTTTGCAAGTTTTTATTTGCTAGTATGAGATAATATCACTCACAAAAATGTTCTCGCTGACCCATGTGTAAATACTACTCTTGTACTCAAAATTAAAAAGAAAAACATGCAATCTAACATGAAGCATAATAAAGCTTACTGTACCTGATCACAAACAGCTGCTTATTCTTTAACTTTGAAATGTCTGTATTTCATCTTTCTTTTTTCCAATCTTACTGAGTCTCCGCTGTCACTTTCTATTATACTATGTCTTATTTATAAACTAAATATTTCATAAATAAACAGTTTTGCTACACAAACACATTGTTTGCATGATAACGCATACTTTATTTCAGTGTCAATGCATGCTTTGGGTGAATATTAACAGTTGCAATTTCATTTTCTTAATTTCATCATACTATTGCTATAAAGGTACAACGTAAGGGAATTTTTGGGATGAAAATATCATTATCACTAATTTACTGAAATGTGACCACAACTTCAAATATAAAGTTTAATTAAGTGTCATTGAAAGATGTAAGGAATTCATAAAACATTTAATATCACAGTATATCACTTTTTGCGTGACTGAAAATCATAAAAAATGGACCTTGTCCATGAAATGAAAACACACTTCTGCTTTGTTTTTCATCCCTACGTAGAAAAGTGATTATATCTGTATACGCTGTCCTGCATGTGGGGGCGTATATTTTAAATATTTAAGAAAGCTTCCAGATTTCTCTTCGACATAAACAGACCTACACTGTTCAAGGTAAGACAATCTTTATATTTAATTTTTTTAAACAGGGGCATTGTTTAACAAAGTTTGAAATTTGTTAAACAATACTTTTTTAAAATAAAATATAATAGAGAAATGTAACTTTTTGAATTAAATTTTCATTTTCTGGATTGCTATAAAAACACAGCTTCAAACTGCATAGGGAAATCTCTACTTTTTGGCTTGGGCTATGTTTCCTCTGGTTATGAGGAGTTGCTAATACAAGGTGCATAAGAACGGCAGAACAATCGAACAAACAGACGACTGAAGAATCCAGTGGAGAAACGTTTTTTCGCTGCAATTATTATTTTTCTTTTATAATGCATGCGTATCTATCAAAGAAACAATGCTTCGGGCAAATTTTTGGAACAAAAAATAATAGAAATGTATGTAACAATCAAGTAAAAAAAAAATCAAATCAAAATATTATTTAACAGATTACAGATGCAATATTGTATTTCAACAAATAAGGTTAAGAGGGTCTTAAATATTTAACAAAACTTTTGAGTCCAGTGAACAAACTCTATTTTCAATGGTTTTTTCTTCTAAAAATAGCTGTACCGCAATACGTATTCTGTAGAAATTGCACTTTTTGAACCAAATTGGTCAAACTTTTAGGCCGTTATTTTCTCATTTGAAATGTTTAACATTTGTTATTTCGAGTCCTTTTATAGCTTGCAGTTGCGGTACGGGTTTTGTTAATGGCAAAGGTCGTACGGTGAACTATAGTTGCTAATGTCGACGTCATTTGGTTTCTGTTGGAGAGTTGTCTCATTGGCACTCATACCACATCTTTTGATTTTTGTCGAGCCTTCGACTTTAGTCGAAAAAGCGAGACATAGCGATCCTACATTCCGTCGGCGTCGTCGTCGTCGTCGTCGTCGGCGGCGTCGTCGTCGTCGTCGTCGTCGGCGGCGTCCACAAATATTCACTCTGTGGTTAAAGTTTTTGAAATTTTAATAACTTTCTTAAACTATCCTGGATTTCTATAAAACTTGGACAGAAGCTTGTTTATGATCATAAGATAGTATCCAGAAGTAAATTTTGTAAAAATAAAATTCCATTTTTTTTCGTATTTTACTTATAAATGGACTTAGTTTTTCTGCTGGGAAATATTACATTCACTCTGTGGTTAAAGTTTTTAAAATTTTAATAACTTTTTTAAACTATCCTGGGTTTGTACCAAACTTGGACAGAAGCTTGTTTATGATCATAAGAAAGTATCTAGAAGTAAATTTTGTAAAAAAATAAATCAATTTTTTCCTTATTTTACTTTTAAATGGACTTAGATTTTCTGCCAGGAAACAACACATTCACTCTGTGGTTAAAGGTTTTAAAATTTTAATAACTTTCTTATACTATTTTGGATTTGTACCAAACTTGAACAGAAGCTTTTTTATGATCAAAAGCTAGTATCTAGAAGGAAATTTTGTAAAAAAATAAATCCATTTTTTCCGTATTTTACTTTTAAATGGACTTACATTTTCTGCCAGGGAACAACATATTCACTCTATGGTTAAAGTTTTTAAAATTTTAATAACTTTCTTATACTATTTTGGATTTGTACCAAACTTGGACAGAAGCTTGTTTATGATCAAATGCTAGTATCTAGAAGGAAATTTTGTTTTCTTCCAGTTACCATTACATTCAGTCTGCAGTTAAAGTTTTTAAACATTTATCAGATTCATAAACTATCCTGGATTTTTACCAAACTTGGACAGAAGCTTCTTACAATAAAAAGATAGTATCAAGAGGAATATTTTTATTGATTTACTTCCTCATTTTTGTTGAGCCTGCGATTAACAGAAAAGTAGGCGAGACACTGGGTTCCGCGGAACCCTTACGAATTTTTATATAAAGATGATAAATAAATTTCATCAAACAAGAAAGTAGACATGATAAAATAAACAAAAATATGTGACCATCAGTTCGTTTAGCCGGAATAGGGCGTATTGTTAAAGATTACGTTTTTTACCTGGAGACTTTTTAAAAATTGTTCAATAGTTTTTCGACCTTCCGAGGAACGATTACCAAACAAATCCCTTTTGTAAAATGTTCTGTTTTAAGGATGTTCGCTACTCTACTTCAAAATAACAAGATTTTTAAAAGCCTGTAATAAATTGATAGCATATGAATAATGGAACTTAAAAAGCAGAAAAAAATGATAGGTCCGTGTCCTTGTTTTTGTGTTATAATTAACTGAAAATTTGGCGGAAAATGATTTTCTAGATTTTTCGTAAATTTAACATTTACATCTTTTTTATTTCAAAAACTATGAAAAATTTAGAAAGATTTTATAAGATGATCAAAAATGGCGGTTTAAAGTATATATTATAAAATTATGAAAAGAAAAATAGGGTTTAGCGTGCAAATTTTTCATTGGCACTACATGGATAAAACTAGAGGATTCCGAATATCTGACAAAAAATTCAGAAACAAGAGTAGCGAACATCCTTAAGGATAATGGACCGTTTTATTATTTGTTGAAACCCTCACATACAACTCTTTCTATTATTTTTTAGATGATCAAAAGGAATAGCATGCAGGCTCTCTTCATTGCAGTTTTCGTACTGAACGGAATTGGTAATGTTTTATTTTTCATTTTTGTGTGTGTATATGTTAACACTTTTTTAACATTCATCATTTATTTTCTCGGCTCCACTGTTTTCTATTTCCCTGAATAACCATTTTTCATACCATTCCTGTAACTTGAGCATTTTAAATTGATGAGTAGTGTTTGCGTCAGAAAACATTTTATATAAAGCAATACTCATTATCGATACTTCCTTCTTCATTGGATAAAGTGTAAGCGGACTCGGAAAACAAAATTTAATAAAACATTTATTGTTTTTGGCTTCGTAACGCCAAATGTAAACGATATAGGACATTAAAGACCTATAGTTTATTTCGTACAGTTATTGTGAAATTTCAGGTTTAAATAAAATTCTATACATTAATATGGAACGCCACAACTGTCTTATGTGGAACTCTGATATTACTTTATGTTGTTTTATTATTACTTGATGATATTTTGTCTTTACTTAATATGGTTTTGACATTACGTAATGATGTTTTGATATAACTCAATATGGAATAGTCATTACTTAATGATATTTCGATATTACACGATATGGTTTCGTATTGACTTGATATAGTTTTGTCATTACTCAATATGGTTTTGTCATTACTCGATGTGGTTTCACCATTATTTAATGTGGTTGTGTCATTAGTCAATGTGGTTGTGAATGTGACTTAACGTTATGTAGTTGTTTCATTACATGATGTGGTTTTGTTATTTTGTAATGATGATTTGCCTATTTTTTATATGGTTTTAACATTACGTAATGATGTTTCAAAATTTGACGATTTTACACTACATGATGTGTTTGTTTCATTATTTGATGTGGTCCTGTCATTCTTTGATGTGGTTATCCCATTACTTGATGAAGTAAAATCACGTGACCAATTCGGAAAAACCTGTTCTATTTTTAGATAGATTTCCATGTTGTATGTGCCCTGGATGAGTGTGGCCATCCATTGAATTAGAGTTCAAATTAAAGTTCGGGTTACTGTTTGAGTTATACTTTGAGTTAGTCTTCGATTTAGAATTCAAGTCATTATTAGAATTAAAGTTTTAGTTAGCATTGAGTTTCGAGTTGAACTTCGAGTTTGAGTCACATTTAAGGTGTCCGAAAAGAGGGCTCCTGGGTATGCGTACAAAAGATAAACAATGTTATAGTACACAAAACGCAACATAGAAGTTGAAATAAAGTTAGATGTGGTGTGATTGACAATGAGACAACTATTCACCAGTGTTTAAATGCAGTGGGTGTAAGAAATCATATATAGGCAACCGTACAGACTTCAACACACCGTATAGTCAGCTACAAAAGGCCACCATGCACCATGTGAAAAAATTCAAACGACAAAACAAACGGTCTTATTTATATTTAAACAATCTACAAAAAAAAATGACGTTCATTTATACAACAACAACAATTGAACTTCATGCTCCTGACTTGGGGCATGTACATAAAGAAAGTGCACGTGGTGGCGTTTAACATGTATGTGAGCGCTAAATCCTAACCTTACATCGGACTGTTACAGTTGTGTAACAGCAAAAAACGAGAAAAAAATGTAAACTAGACAAAGTGATGCCCCCGCACTCAACTCATTTAAATTAACCGCTTATATCCCAAAAATGACAAAAAAAAACTTCAATTATCTCCCAAAAGAGCAAAAGATCATAAAAATAAAAACCCTGACCACATGCACACCTTCAATAATTGTACAAACAGCCAGCAGAGTGAAAACTTCCTAGGATTCAAACTGTAGGAGGAGTTATGCGGAATAACTATATATCCATAATGGGACGGACAGACGGACGAACGGACAGGGATAATATATGTCCCCAACTTTCAGTTGCGGTGGCATACAAAACAGTTTCATTTGGCTGACTCAATAGATCGGTATGACTGGGTAATATAAATCCATCGGGGTGATCTCGGATGCTCCAGAAAGGCACCCGTCGTGTTATTCAAGGAAGTACAAATCCAGTGATTTGGTTTTATTTGGTAGTTCACATTCAAGGAAAAGATAACGGTATTATGGTTACGACCACTGGAACATGTCCGTCGTCACATGTGAAACAGATATTCCAAAAAGTTTATTTTTCAATTAGTGCGAGGTAGATCAGGGAATTCAATTGATTACAAATAAAAGATTGATATTCATATAAGTTCGCTAAAACAAAATTCGGAAAATTCTTATTTTATAGTATTTATGCTTTGTCGCTAAGTCCGAGCCCCCCTCCCCCCGTTTCCCTGTAACTTTAGTGTGAGTTGATTTGAAGTGTTTCATTTGTTAACAATAAAGTTCAAGTCTTTTGATTTGTGTCGAGCCTGCGACATCAATGTAGCGGCAGTGAGACACAACAAACCTATATTTCGTCGTCGATAGTGGCGTCGGCGTCGGCGTCTCCATTTTTTTTTATTTCTATTGATTTTAACCTTTCATTATACATGTTATTAAACATGTATGCCATCATAATTTTGTACTTTTAGAATATCATACTGTATTTGTTTACCTCAACTATTGTATCTGTATTTATATTGTATGTTTCTCTGTAAACTTGTAATTAGTTTTTAGTTTTTAGTTTTTAGAGAATAAAGTATCTATCTATCTATCTATCTATAGATCGTTAGGTTTCTAGTTTTTTCACATTTTTCATTTCGGGACCTTTTATAGCTTACTATATGGTATAAGTTTTGCTTATTGTTGAAAACCATACAGTTTTGTTTTAGTTAAATAAAACCGAATTAAACTGTTTTGACATGATAAATTTGTAAACCCCCATGAAGTGTTTTAAAACTTGCATAGGAGTTATTCCTCAATTTCAAGAAAAAGCATCTACAGAAAAACATTTATTCTATTTATTTTATAACAAAAATTTAACAGTGTGAAACAAACAATACAAGTTAACAGCACTAAAACAAATCATACATCGTAACACACACATTAGAAATTCACTGTATATAAGTCTATTAAAAATATTAATCCATTCAACGTGAAGAAGGTGGGAGGCTGCATCACCAAACTGTACTGCTGTGACTTCCTGGTTGCCGTGTATAACCTTAAGCTCTTCTAATATGTTGTTAAATTCGACATACTTTCGTTTTTGGGCCACTCTCTTCCCACCGGCTGCATATTTGATCATGGTCAGGGCATAACAAGCTTCCTCATGTTCCAATAGTTTTATGAGTTGAAAGATGTTTTAATGTGGGTGCTGGACATGTTTCTTTAGCTTGCTGTGCCATCCCTCTAGATGTTTTGTAGTCATCGGTCCCTTTGTTCTGTAATGGTCCCAAAGGTGACTGTTCTGTTCGACCCAGTATGTGGTTTCATAGTCTGTCATTGGCGTGTAGTTGATGTTAGTATCAATCTGATCTATGTCGGTAAGGGCATTAAACCACACATATTCGACCCCAGCAGTAGGTACATGTGGAAGAATAGCGGCCTACTAGTTCATGAATGTTGTTGTCTTCCTTGTATGGTAGTACGTGCCCAAATACCATCTATGTTGATTTCATTAACAGTTTTTGGTAAAACTGGTATGTTCTTCTTGCGTTTGTTGTACATGGAATTTTTGCAAGATGGGAAAGCTTGTTATAATATTATCTATCATCAATTTATTTGTTCGGATGACAATTTTTCAACTTTACAAATTCAATGTTTTTTTTTAATCTTACTTCTATTTATCTGACTTATTGTTTATTTTTCTGTATTTCTATGAAGAAGAAAAACATATTATAAATAAACAGTGTATTATTTTTTTTTTAAATAATATTATACTTAAACAGTGTAAGAAATATGTTTTCTTTTAAAAAATACAGGTAAATCTTAGGTGAATTTTTAATTAACCTTGATTGTTATAAAAACAAATTATTTGTCAAAACATCTATTGTTATTTGCATGTGGGAATAGAAGAAATAGTTATTTCTAAAAAGTGGGAATAGGAGGAAGACACCGTAATCAGCAGGTAACACTTAAACCAAAGCTTGATCAATGCGGACTCTGGTAAATACCGAAAACGATATCAAGTGACCCGGAAGTGTTTGCATGCATAGAGATCCAATTAAATACGAATGCAGAAGTATATCGTTTATTCTCATAACCTGATGTTGTAAAAGTATCATTATGTAATAACACAAGATTTATTTTTTGGCCAAATTATAAAATCGTCATAAAAGTAGAATGAAGAGAAACATATTTTCCATCTGTTTTTAAGCGTTTAATTCTGTTTTGTATTATATTTTTACAGGTGAGGCAATGGCAGAGTACAAACGAGTTTGCTATTACACAAATTGGGCACAGTACCGACCGAATCCTTTTAAGTATTTCCCAGAAGATATTGACCCATTTCTCTGTACGCATATTATCTACTCTTTCGGAAAAGTTAGTGGACTCATAATCAAGCCGTATGAATGGAACGACGAAAGCACATCATGGTCAAAAGGTAAAAAGTACAGCATAGAAAAACTAATGAAATTATTTCAGTGTGCACAACATGTATGTTTCTAGAGTAACATACATCAGGTTCCAGTGGCGGATCTAGAAATGTTCATGAGTGGGGGCCCACTGACTGCCTAAGAGGGGGCCCGCTCCAGTCATGCTTCAGTGATTCCCTATATAAGCAACCAAATTTTTCCCAAAAAAGGGGGGCCCGGGCCTCTGGGTACGTTCGTAATAAAAATGTTTGGCAAACCAAAAATATGAAACATGTACGAGTTGCCTAAAATGAAACAATATTTTTTATGAATTTTATGCGTCCGAAAAAGACCCTCACCAGGAACGTTTAAGACAAATATTTGAAACCCAAAGATGTATAAATGCCGAAACAGGCGAAAAGCTATATATCCATAAGAGGGAGTTGCATCCCTTTTTAGTACATTTACATGATTTTATGAAACGGAAATTAACAAACGAACTATATAATTTAAATGATGTCAATAAGTTTCAGAATAGTATATCTTTATGTTAATGTATTCTTAAGATAATTATATCATATGGAAATTGCAATAAGGCAAGGACGACAGTAAAGCTTTCTTTTCTGTCATATAAGCAAATACGAACATATGTTTTTTCTACATTTCAAGTGAGTGGTGTGGTGAAATTCCTATCTTATGATGTATTCTAAATATGTATTCAGCGGATTCTGTTCTTCGATACGGAACTCAATAGTATATATCACTTGTTATACATCTTTTCAATGTAAAATAATTTTCAGCATAAAGTTTAGATGGTGAAAGTCATTGTTACCTGTCATTATAAATCGTTATGAATTGTAATTTTAATTAATAACAGGCATGTTTGAGAGGACAATGGCAGCAAAAACAACGAATCCAGATTTGAAAATTCTGATTGCCATTGGAGGATGGAACCATGGGTCTGGTCCATTCACAACCGTGGTTGATAATAAAAACGATATTGACACGTTTGCTGGAAATTCCATCGATTTCCTGAGAAAGCATAATTTTGACGGGTTAGATTTGGATTGGGAATATCCAGGAAATAGAGGAAGTCCACCTGAAGATAAACAAAGGTTTACACAACTTGTTAATGTATGTATAATTCTGATAAAGTTAATAACATTAGTTTATGTTAACCATGTCAATTATTCATCTACAGCAAAATATTAAAAATTAATCTTTGACTGATGTGTTCAATGTTTTCACTTTACTGATCCTCCATTTCCACTTCGCTTACAATGGATTCTTTCGTTACATTTTACGTTACCTGTCTTATTCGGGCTTAACGCCTTGTTGGTGTTATCTCTCATCGGTGTATACCCTAACCCTCTGGCTGATACTTACTTTCACCCTCCAAGATTGTTCAATTGCAGAATGGTTAATTTTATCTTTACTGAATATCAGGTTAAAAAAAACTCACCAAAGATACCAGGATTATAATTCAATACATCAGTAACTTTCTCGTCATTTCTAACTATAAATTTCTTTAATATTATTAGAGCCATTTTCAAAAGGTCTTTCGATCATAGTCTCATATCTCCCTCCCTGTGTACCATAAGGTTCTAACTATATTATGGTTTATTTCTAAACAGAACAAATTCTAAACGCTTAAGATATCCACCAAAAAACCCGTAATTTTTGACAGATTCTAGCAAATTTTGACTATCTATATCAAAACTATTTACAAAGGACATCCTAAAATAAATCCTAATTTCTGTTAGAAGTAAAGTTTAATATATAAATTCATTCATTTTGGTTAGCGGCGTCTTTTGATGGAAAATTAAATAACTCATTTGCAATCTTTCATTAAAAGGCCTTCAACAGCTACATGCAGCGATGTTTTGATTTTATAGAAATAAACAAAATTGTTGAAAATTGTTGGAAGTTTATGATTTGACAACTTTTACATTTTGGCAACGAAGGTAAACTAATACAGAGGAAGTCGGCCCAACCTCTTTATTTCTTCTTACCAACTATTGCTTTCTTACAAATTAAAGTGAAACCGATGTTTTATAGATACTTAGAAAGGAGTTTGAAAATGAGGCTCAATCATCTGGAAGAGAAAGATTGTTATTAACTGCAGCCGTTGCCGCCGGAAAGGGAACAGTAGATTCAGCGTACGAAATCTCAAAAATAGCGGCGTAAGTTGAACCTGCTTTTATATGAGATACATCTAGCATTTCTCTTTTACTTGTTATTTTTATCTAACAAAAACTTAAGTCCGTTCAACTTTTCTTGTATTGGATCTTTGTTTTAAATACAAATGTTTAAATATGCAGCTTGATCGATTTATCTACCATTTCTTAACCTTTTAAATTCCTTTTTCAAAATGTTCTCAATGAAAGGAAATAAAGATAACAAGAGGTCAACTAAATTATCAAAAGAATGACAATACCTTCGTTCCAAAGCCACACTAAACTTTACAAGTCAGGAATATGGCAGTTGTTTTTCACTTGTTCCGTTGATTAATAGCGTTTGGTTTTGTCAGTTTTTATGGACTTTCCCTTTTTGAAGTTGCCTTGAAGTTCGGTAATTTTGCTATGTTTTTTTTTTACATAGAACAATATAAACAAACCCCTCTTAATATATCGTACTTCAGAATTAAGTTATGATTTTTTTTTCTTTTGTTTTAAGAAGCAAGAACAAATATTTACATAATTTCATAAGAATATAAAGATTTATCCTAGAATTATAATTCTACTGCAGCAATTAAAAAAGATGTAGTATTTACATCATAATTTTATTATAATTATAATAATTTATTAACAAAATAGATTAATAATTGTTTCTGTTAATGCTGTAGACGTCAGCATATTTTATAAGACTAATTTGTAGTGTGCAAGCGATCTTCTATGAACCTTTTCATTCTACTTATTAAGATCAAAAAATATAGAAGATGGTTGAAAAGGGACTCTAAATATTTATACAATTACAGTGATCTAGATTTCATCAATTTAATGGCTTATGACCTTCATGGTTCATGGGAAAAGAAAACCGGACACAACAGTCCGCTGTATGCTAGAAACGACGAAACAGGAGACGAACGAACGCTAAATCAGGTATGGATTGGTGTATACGATATTAAAGAAAACAAATTTTGGAACATATTTGTAAACAATGACAGATTTTGTGCTCTGTTTTCCTCTCCAATAAAGTCAAATTTTAACAAACAGAGCAATTAAAAATAAAACTAGGCTGAATAGTCCAAATCAAAGACATACTGATATAACAAAAAACCAAAGAAAAAATAAAGTAATTTAGTTTTTATCATACAATTTTAGCCTACAACAGCTCGTAAGATGTTTTTTTTTGTATCCCAAGAGTAAACAAAGTTTAAACTACGACTTACTCTGAAAGAAGGTATTAATGGTTCTTGTAGTTAATAAATAAAACAATTTTGATAAGACTAAATAGTGATCTTACGTCAATAGCTGTAAATACATAGGGTTTGATTGAATTATAAATGTTGAATTCTTTTTTTTATTAGATTAAAGTGGAAGTCATCCACCTCTTTATCCCGTTATAGTAACATAAAAAAATTGCAGTTACGTTGTTTTTAAAGCCATAATACCAGAAAGGTTTTCAGATACATTGTTGTTTGAACATGCTGTGTTAATAACAATAATTTGATTATTTCTTTGAAAACAATAAAAATATATCTTTTAGGACTGGGCTGCTCAGTATTGGGTAGATCAAGGAACGCCAAAAGAAAAACTCATTCTTGGAATTGGCACGTATGGCAGATCATTTAAGTTGTCAAGTTCCTCAAACACTAGATTTGGTGCAGCAACTGCTGGTGGAGGATCTCCAGGAAAATATACGCGGGAAAAAGGCTTTCTAAGCTACTATGAGGTTATTGTTTTACAATATATATTTCCTTAAGAGTATACGGCTTGCATATCATCTTTTTTATATGCGGGTTTTACATGTTTAGGTATTTTGGAAGTAAATCGGGGACAATCCGCAAGAATAACATTATCTTGTTAAATGACAGATAGATGAGTAATCGAATTAAATATGGTCACTTATTGGTATATGAAAAAAACAAACATCAATATTTTACAAGTCTTTCTAAAATCGAGTTTGACCTTTCTAAATTTGATTAATACTTGACTTAACCACGTCGTGTGGACTCTGGTGGATTGTTGTCGCATCTCCTTATTTTGATATAAACCACACTGTCAAAACCCATTACTGGACTTGACACAACATTAAACAAAGGGTTGACTCCAGCATGAGCGATGGTTGTAACATTTAATGATAAACGCATCAAATTGAAACATACAACACTAGTATTAGCACGTTATCGTAAGATTGCTGTTATTGGGCATATTACTAGAATTACAAATTCACTTAGGTGATCTATCAGAAACCAGAATTGATATGTAATCGACAGATGGTCGTTGCTAGCATAATTTCAAAATCTATCTTGTTGATACAGCTAATAATAGACTTGACATGGAATCGTACCTGAAATGCGGTGTGTACATCACTGAAACGCATAAACATCCAAAAAACATATCCCAACATATTATCGTCAATAATAGACTATTGCCTAAACAATATGACAAGATTTAAATTACCTTCAAGCCTTGACAAATTTTTAAATAAATAAAGCCTAGACTATATAAACATATTGCAAAAGTCTCTCAGTCACAAAACATTAAGAAATGACTTCAGGCAACTATTGAAGAGGTCCGCGACGTGGGCCATGTGTGGATAACTTGTTTTATGAGCACTCACCCCTTTTATCGACCAGTTTAATAACTTTTACACTTTACTCTGATACCGACGATATTTTTCAAACTGCAGCGTCATAAATAGTACAGGGAGACAAAATTCAAACAGTTACGTAGTTTCGAATTCTATACCAAAATTGGTATTAATGTTCGCGCATTTTACTGAATACAAGCGAACAGTGAATAAAGTTATCAACTGGATCAACATATTATATAAATATACAAATAAGAAAAATTGTTAACATCATACGAAAATCTTTATTTTATATTTTAGGTTTGTTCAAGCGGATGGACAACAGCATGGAATGATGAGCATCAAGTTCCATATGCATATTCTGGAGATCAGTGGGTTGGATACGACAACGTTCGAAGTGTAACGATAAAAGTGAGTAAGAAACAAGTCAGACAAGTAAATACGTATACACGCAAGCGATAATAAATACGGCGCATGGCAGTGACTGATTCTTTCGAACAAACCGAGAACTTTTTTCAAAGGATAAATATTTAAACACGCAAAACTTCCATCAGTATTTTATAAATTTAGGCGTGCATTGTGTTGATTACATCTGTTATTAGCAATGTAAATTGTCTCAATCATAACAAAAATATTGTTTGTGAATAAAGAGCGTACATCGGTCATTGGCATTACATTATGAGAACATGCTATGTATAAAGACAATACAAAAAAAATAGCTATAACTTTGAGAAAAAAATGAAAAGTCATATACTGATTTTTGCTCCTGTTGATAGAACTATACTTGTATGACATCAATATGATTTTACACAATTTTTTGTTTCTACATCATCCATCATGAGGTATTCTTGATACCGTAAGTTGTGGAAGACAATTACATAAAATGTATGGCAGCATACTAACTGGATCAACAATTTGCAGCATACCAAAACCTCCAAATATGTTGATAGTCAACTATGAATAAGCCAGTTGTAAAATTATTTTTATTACAGCTGCGTGGTATTTTAATGTTAAAATGATTTTAAATTATCATTTGTAGCCATCCGATTACGGAAATCTAGGATGTCCAACTGATGAATGTTGCCGTTTTGATATTTTCTTCTAAATACTTTGATATTTGAATTAATATATGTTTAAGGTTCTTACTTGGTGCGTAGGTTGAATATACGCAAAATTTGCATTTTCGTCTTTCTTTTTATTTTTTAATGGTTCATGTGAGGTAAGCTGGTAATTCTCGTACATTTAACATTACAGTGATCGTTAAGAAAGTTTTTTTTTACAAATAAGAAATCGTGATTAAAAAATATATACATTTTCAGGCAAAGTATATTAAAGAGAAGGGACTAGGAGGTGCTATGTTTTGGGCTCTTGATTTGGACGACTTCACAGGGGATGCATGCGATGAAGGCGTTTATCCATTGATATCAGCTGTAACAAATGAACTCACGACAAATGACTCACCCACACCAAAACCAGTAACTACAACCTCACCAAGCTCACGTCCTCAACCGTCAACAGGTAATTATTTTATACATTAAAATTGAGAATGGAAATGGGGAATGTGTCAAAGAGACAACAACCCGACCAAAGAACAGAAAACAGCCGAAGGCCACCAATGGGTCTTCAATACAGCGAGAAAATTCCGCACCCGGAGGCGTGCTTCAGCTGGCCCCTAAACAAAAATATGTACTAGTTCAGTAATAATGGACAAAACAATTATTGAAGCCAGTTCTTGTTTTAAGAAGAAAAAAATTACAACTTTATGTATGACTTGTGTTTCATTTTTCATGTACACTAGTACCAAAATATTTTGAAAGCAATATACATGTCAATTCAAACCAACAGTGGTAAAAATATACAGCCCAACTTGCTGGCTTGACTGAGTCATATTTCTTTTTTTATAAAATTCTCCTTTGATAGATTAAAAAATTACTAGGAAACTAAGGTTCCAACTCTCTCATGCAAAGTTGACCTTCAATGAAGTTGGCTATTCGTTTAAGATCCCTTTATTTCTAGGTTATATAGCTCCTTACGTTTCTACATGTTTATACATCCCTTGCTCTTACATGTTTGGGTTGCAGCATTCCTAGTGAGGGTTAATCCAGTAAAGCGCTTCTGACGTACGAAATTTATTAAATGTTATTTCCATTTCAAATTATTTTTCTTGTTAAAGCCAATGAAAATGTTTGATTAGATATGAAATACCAATGAGTTTAACCTTTGTTATGTACGTTATTACATTGAAATTAATGAAAATGTGGTAGTGCCATATTATCAATTTGTCCTTTGATGACACGTTAAAGCAATAAAAAAAACTGTACAGGGCTGCAAGTGCATAAAGCAAGCATTACCTGAAAAGATCTTGTTTAAGATGTATTGTTATAAAAAAAACATAAGATTATTCATCAACCGAGAACCAAAATTCCACAATATAAACTATTTCAATAACTCCCACTATAATGCTATATTTTAGTATGTAACACAAGTATCGATGCGACACATTATCAAAATTGTGAGATTTTAGCTGCACCATGTTCGCATTTTAAGGTCAAGTTACAGTAAATGGGCTGTGTCACAGATTTTGGTAACATTTTGCATACAACTCGTTGAACTATAATAACGGAAAATCGAAAAAATAATGCATTTATCTCTTTTATTTTCTGAAATATTACGGATTGAATTCTTTCAAAATAGGTGAACATTAGTATAGAAAGCTCATACAATCGGCGAAAAACGTTCTTAAATTTTTTTTAAATCATCAAATCACCAATTTTAAATCCATAGATTTTTCAGATATATCATATGTTGTTGATACATAAATTACCGTTATTAATATAAAATAATCATATGGACACCGACGGAACACAAACTGATAAGATATTATATATATTTTGAAGTTACGAACTATAAACATTACTGAAAATTCGAAAGAAATAGACTATGTTGGGTACTTCCGAAAAAACCATACTTTTCTATAATTTCATAATTGGAAATGAATGAATCGTCTTTACAAATGATAATCGTGGTTGTTAGATTAACGTCCAGTAGCAAATTTTCATGTAAGTACTGGGCGAAAACACATTCACAATAAATCCAATATTTCTATGTTCTGCAATTCGAGTCACTCGGGATGAGGGAGGGAAATTAATACTAAAGCTAGAAATAAGAATATGTTAGATAGTAATCTTCATAGAGTTGTTTCTTTGATTCTTTCGTGTGCAGAAATCGTTACGCTATACCTACCTACACGAAATTTATTGGCTATACTTAAGGTTGTTTTGGTTGATTAGCTCTACAACGTCTGTATTAGGTTATGGATTTTTAAATATTTTGGCCTCTAACATCACTGAAGAGACATTAATTGTCGAAATGCGCATCTGGTGCAGTAAAATTGGTACTGTTTATATTATTATTTTCTCTTCTCTTAGAAATTTGGATTATCCCTCTTTCAGCAATAAAATTATTATCTTTTGAGAAATGTAGAATTTATTAAAAAAAATGTTTACAAAATGTACTATGTTCACAAGTTATTAAAGTTCAAAATATATCTATATATGTAACACAATGTGGTAGAGAACATTCATTATCTAATTGCATAACGACAACTATGTAATTCATTAACAAATTGTACATGTGGTGTTACAATTATTTTGACAATCGTATTGAAATAACCTTCGAACAATTTATCGGATGGGCAACAAAACAATTACAGAAGTGACCATTGACAAACTTAAGTGAATATTGTTCCAGTATAACTATTACATGTATTCTGCGGACAAAGGTTAACCTTGTCCGAAACATGCAACCTAAATCATGTGTCCTGTGGACATTTAATAACCTTGTACAATACCAGGAACACAGACTATATAAATACTAGGAAAGAAAAAAAAAAGATTAGATTCCATCAGGTCTCTCCACTCGTGGGTAGACAGGAATTCATTTACCACCAGAATTTATTTTTGTCAGGACCGAAAATATACCACTTTACGATTACGTGTCCGTGTGACAAATTGTGAACTTTCGAACAATTTCACATTTGAACTTTTGAAACATTTTAAAAATTATATTTACGTAATAACTTATTATTGTATTATCAAATCGACTTCGTTATATATGGCCCAGTGTAATAGTTTTTCAAATTTTGAAATATTTATTTTCTTAGCTCTCAGAATATTAACTTAGAGAAACTGTAGCTATACAAATTTCATAAAATTAACATTTTAAAACTAATTTAATGGTTTTACAGGTTTCCACAGAGTATGTTACTTCGACAACCAGGCACAATATATCAAAAGTCCGTATAAGTTTACTGCAACACAAATAGATGTAAACCTGTGTACTCATATAATCTATAAATATGCTAAAATAGTAGGAACTGAAATCATGCCTACAGAAATTAATGATTTAGGAAATAGTGGTAAGTAATGACCATAACCCTTTCTAAACCAATATGTTACATTTTCGCATTTGATAAAGTATTATGTGCCTTTTGGCAAATGTATATCAAGTTGGTTCATTCCTCCTATTCCCACTTTTTATAAATCTGGTAAGAAAAGTTAGAATTTCATGTGGGAATAGGGGGAAACTTGTGCAAACAAATGATTATACTGTATAAACATTGTTTAATCAACTTTTAATTGACAAGTGTTTTTTTGGATAAGTAATAGGTTATTTTTGTATGTGTATGAATTCTGTGTTTTTAATTAAAATAAATAAGAAAGAAATGGGAACATATATTAGTAAATTATTTTAGTTTTTTTATAACACAAATTCAACAGTAGATTCAAGCAAGCATTATGATATGAAACAAACAATACAAGTTAACAGCACTAAAACAAATCACACATTGTAGCACACACATTAGAAATTCACTGTATATAAGTCTATTAAAGTTTATTAATCTATTCAACGTGAAGAAGGTGGGAGGCTGCATCACCAAACTGTACTGTTGTGATTTCCTGGTTGCGGTGTCTAACCTTAAGCTCTTCTAATCTGTTGTTGATTTCGACATACTTTCGTTTTTGGGCCACTCTCTTCCCACCGGCTGCATACTGATCATGGTCAGGCATGTTTCAGTAGTTTTATGAGTTTAAAGATGTTTGGATGTGGGTGCTGGACATGTTTCTTCAGCTTGCTGTACCATCCCTCTAGATGATGTGTAGTCCTCGGTCCCTGTGTTGTGTAATGGTCCCAAAGGTGACTGTTCTTTTCGACCCAGTATGTTGTTACATAGTCTATAAAGGCTGTGTAGTTGATGTTAGTATCAATCTGATCTATATGTCTGTTGGGGCATTACACCACACATCTTCGACCTCAGCAGTAGGTACAAGTGGAAGGACAGCGGTACGGCGTACTAGTTGATGAATGTTGTTGTCTTCCTTGTATTGAACCTGAATCCCTGTTTCTTGTGTTTTTCTCCATATGCATTGTGTGAAGTCGAGAAAACAGCCTTTTGCGTTGATGCCAGGAAATACAGAAAAAGCTGCATTTCAGATGGCGACTTCATAGTCCAGGAAGATAGTGGTAGGCTGAAGTTGTAGTTGGTGTTGGTGGCATACATCTTTGAGTAAAGTCAGGAACCTTGTGTAAACTAGTTCGCTCTTGGCTGGAAGTAAACTGTGTACCAGTAGATACATTGCGCCGTCAACCATTGCGTGAAATGTGTAAAGTTGGAAGAATAGACTCGGACAGGAATGGGTCACCTTTAGTAGTACGTGCCCAAATACCATCTATGCTGATTTCATCAACAGTTTTTGGTAAAACTGGTAGGTTCTTCTTGCGTTTGTTGTACATGGAAATCTTGCAAGATGGGAAAGTTTGTTATAATATTATCTATCATCAATTTATTTGTTCGGGTGACAATTTTTTAAGTTTACAAATATAATGATGTTTTAATCTTACTTCTATTTATCTGACTTATTCTTTATTTTTAAGTAATTCTTTGAAAAAGAAAAAAACATATTACAAATAAACAGTATATTAAATTATTATTTTTTTTTTAAATAATATTATACTTAAACAGTGTAAGAAATATGTTTTCTTTTAAAAACGACAGGTAAATCTTAGGTGAATTTTTAATTAACCTTGATTGTTATAAAAACAAATTAGTTTATCAAAACATCTATTGTTATTTGCATGTGGGAATAGAAGGAATAGTGATTTTTAAAAAGTGGGAATAGGAGGAAGAATCAAGGTTCATTCATCCTATTCCCACTTTTTATAAATCTGGTAAGAAAAGTTAAAATTTCATGTGGGAATAGGGGGAAACTTGTGCAAATAAAGGATTATACTGTATAAACATAGTTAAATCAACTTTTAATTGACAAGTGTTTTTTTTGGATAAGTAATAGGTTATTTTTGTATGTGTATGAATTCTGTGTTTTTAATTAAAATAAATAAGAAAGAAATGGGAACAAATGTTAGTAAATTATTTTAGTTCTTTTATAACACAAATTCAACAGTAGATTCAAGCAAGCATTATGATATGAAACAAACAATACAAGTTAACAGCAGTAAAACAAATCACACATTGTAGCACACACATTAGAAATTCACTGTATATAAGTCTATTAAAGTTTATTAATCTATTCAACGTGAAGAAGGTGGGAGGCTGCATCACCAAACTGTACTGTTGTGATTTCCTGGTTGCGGTGTCTAACCTTAAGCTCTTCTAATCTGTTGTTGATTTCGACATACTTTCGTTTTTGGGCCACTCTCTTCCCACCGGCTGCATACTGATCATGGTCAGGCATGTTTCAGTAGTTTTATGAGTTTAAAGATGTTTGGATATGGGTGCTGGACATGTTTCTTCAGCTCTGTACCATCCCTCTAGATGATGTGTAGTCCTCGGTCCCTGTGTTGTGTAATGGTCCCAAAGGTGACTGTTTTCTGTTCGACCCAGTATGTTGTTACATAGTCTGTAAAGGCTGTGTAGTTGATGTAAGTATCAAAGTGATCTATATGTCTGTTGGGGCATTAAACCACACATCTTCGACATCAGCAGTAGGTACAAGTGGAAGGACAGCGGTACGGCGTACTAGTTGATGAATGTTGTTGTCTTCCTTGTATTGAATCTGAATCCCTGTTTCTTGTGTTTTTCTCCATATGCATTGTGTGAAGTGGAGAAAACAGCCTTTTGCGTTGATGCCAGGAAATACAGAAAAAGCTGCATTTCAGATGGCGACTTCATAGTCCAGGAAGATAGTGGTAGGCTGAAGTTGTAGTAGGTGTTGGTGGCATACATCTTTGAGTAAAGTCAGGAATCTTGTGTAAACTAGTTCGCTCTTGGCTGGAAGTAAACTGTGTACCAGTGGATACATTGCGCCGTCAACCATTGCGTGAAATGTGTAAAGTTGGAAGAATAGGCTCGGACAGGAATGGGTCACCTTTTGTAGTACGTGCCCAAATACCATCTATGCTGATTTCATCAACAGTTTTTGGTAAAACTGGTAGGTTCTTCTTGCGTTTGTTGTACATGGAAATCTTGCAAGATGGGAAAGTTTGTTATAATATTATTTATCATCAATTTATTTGTTCGGATGACAATTTTTTAAGTTTACAAATATAATGATGTTTTAATCTTACTTCTATTTATCTGACTTATTCTTTATTTTTAAGTAATTCTTTGAAGAAGAAAAAACACAGGAATAGTGATTTTTAGAAAGTGGGAATAGGAGGAAGACAACATCAAGTTAGACTTCGATGTGTTGACCAATTAGAAATGATTTTGATTTTTGATTTTTTGTGTTTTAACGCCACTTTTAAGCACCGCTTTTGGGCTATTTCGTGGCGGCCAGTTTTTATTGGTGGAGGAAGCCGGAGTGCCCGGAGAAAATCACCGACCTTCGATAGGAAAACTGACAATCCTAGTCAATTAAGATTGCAGTCGAGTGCACCCGCACGAGCGGGGTTCGAACTCACAACCTCAGTGTTGACTGGCTAGTGATTAAAGTAGTAACTACTTAGACCACTCGGCCACCGAGGCCCCTCCAATTAGAAATGACACAATCGGAATTCATTTAAGACAATTCAATTCAATGTTTTATTAAAGTCTCATCTCTCAACACGTACAATCGATATTTATACATTGTAAAACAATACTAAATAAATGAGAGCCATTCTATACAGAATTATAAGAGACTGTTAAAATGCATTGATATAATACATTAAACAATATGGAATAAAGTACTATTTATAATTATATTTAAAATTTCTACGTCTTCTTAAAATCAAATAACAGGTTTTGGCACACACACGTATCATATTTACATCTGAGAATAAAAACACTAACTTTTGGTTATCATTTAAAGTATTAAAATTTTCATTAAAATATTCAGCAACATAATATAAATGGTTTCTAAAATCGTCATAAAGAGGACATCTAAGTAAAAACAATAAGACACGTATTATTTCATTATATACATATTACAAATTGTTCATAAATCATATCCAATTTAGTGATGATATATTTAGATTTTTCTGTCAAAGAGTACAGTTTGAAAGTCAGCCTCTGTCAGATTTGTAAAGGGTAGTTATGTTGTCATACAAGCATGCACAAGTATTAGTATATACAAAGGAAGTTTTGCCAATTTGTATGTTTGTTTTATGCAGTTAAATGCCACGACTTTCAGGATGTTGGCACGACTTTAATCTATATTACTAAAATAACGAGGTCCAATTTGTAAGCCGGCATGACGTAAAAAGACGAATCAAAGAATTCAACTTTATATAGAACTATTACAGGATGTTGATTAAAATTACACCATTCCAGGCCCTTTTGTTTTCTAAATAATTAATATTACCAATAATTAACAAAGTTCCGTGTCGAATCCGACATCGAGACCAATAGTACCTGTTGCCTAATCTGTACGTTCCGCCTCTGTCAGGCGCACCAGCAAACGGTGTATTTTGGGATTTGGTATAAACACTGGTCATAATCACACCTGAACTTCGTCATTATACAGGGATTGACACTACTTTAATCAATCATTGACCAAAAAACATCTACAAGTAGATTCTGGTTGTGGTAAGAAAACCAGGACGGATTCAAACAGAAATATTTTGAAAGCAGAGAAAACTGTGCACCTTATAATCAGCGTTACTTTATCACATGACATTGCGAGTACTTAAAATCCAGACTGAAAATAAGGCGAAGGTACTTTAATTCAGTCACAAACCCGCGATGTCGCGGTTGTGTTCTAGTTATTATAAATATAAGAAAATGTGGTAAGATTGCCAACGAGACAACTTTCCACCAGTGACCAATTGACGTAGTAGGTATAGGTCACCGTACGGCCTTCAACAAGGAGAAAAACCATTACTGCATAGCAAGCTATAAAAGGTCCCGAAATAACAAATGTAAAACAATTCAAAGGAGGAAACTAACGGTCTGATTTATGTACAAAACAATAAACGAAAAACAAATATTATATAATATACAGCAACAATCGACAACCACTTAATCACAGGCTCCTGACATGGGACAGGCTCATACAAAAATGGCGGTTTTAAACATGTTTCCAGGCGCCCAACTCATCCCCTAACCAACGAGACAACTTTCCACCAGTGACCAATTGACGTAGTAGGTATAGGTCACCGTACGGCCTTCAACAAGGAGAAAAACCATTACTGCATAGCAAGCTATAAAAGGTCCCGAAATAACAAATGTAAAACAATTCAAAGGAGGAAACTAACGGCCTGATTTATTTACAAAACAATAAACGAAAAACAAATATTATATAATATACAGCAACAATCGACAACCACTTAATCACAGGCTCCTGACATGGGACAGGCTCATACAAAAATGGCGGTGTTAAACATGTTTCCAGGCGCCCAACTCATCCCCTAACCTGGGAAAATGTTGTAACAGCACAACATAAGAACAAACTATAAAAAGCAGTTGAACAGGCTTCTCTCACCTGATCGATACAAAGCACAATAACAAGTACTGGAATCTAGTTCAAAGACAATAACAACTAATTAAAACAAATCATGTATCTAGGACTAGAATATCAATCATTACACATCCAAAATCGTAAGTATGCTTAAACGAAGAAGGAAATCCGAATTCCCAGGAGAAACTACTGTAACAGTTGTTGTGTCAATAACTGAGTTACTCGAAATCATAACTGTTGTTCTGGAGGACCTCTAATTTTTCAATCGTTCGTTACCAGCTACTTTGATTTCGTAGAGATACAACTGAACGGAGAAGGTCGGTGAGAGGGAAATGTAATTGTCGATTCGTAGACCCGCAAAGTCTTGGGGCTTAAGTATTTACATTCATTAAGATGTTTTAACTTTTTTGAAGAAAAAAATGAAAAACAAGATTTTGAGCAGCAGATATTCAGGCAAATATCACAATTTTCAATAATATTCTGCCAATTATAAAAATACATATATATATATATATATACTTTGAATTCTGCTTTAGCTAATGTTGTAACGATCCTGGGAAAGTTGACCTAAGACGGTTTTTTGACTGTTCTACTTTCCCTTTTGGTTTTTATGTTCTTTAACTTTTCTTTATATCATTTGATTTCAAAAGTTTGGTCTCGAGTGATCATAAAAGAAGAATTCCAGAAACATGTGTTAAGCGAACGGACATTGAATAGCATGCGTATTTCTCTACCAATCCCGACTCGAAAACATCCAACAATTACTGGTGACAACAATAATCACTTTCGCATTAAAACATCTTTTGATAACGTTTGTTATTTGTTGTGTAAAAACCGAATCGAAACAGTTGCAAGTTCAAACCAATTACGAAATAAAAGAGAATTGAACATAACAAATTCTGAATAGTGCCGAATCTGGCTAAGCTGTTATCAATGATTGGGGATGAAAAATTCAAAATGTTTTGAGTGATTCCACTGTACTATGAACGGCAAATTAAAACAAAAATGACCGATTCATTGATATTTCTTGGTATTCAGAGGATATTTTTTGGGTTTATCGCAATTCAACGTATAAAGTAAATAAAATTCAGAAATGCGTAATGTGCATCAAATGAATTTTGGAATTAAACTTTGCATTACTAATCTGCTTCAAATTTGCGATCATGATAATTCCTATCCTATGTGTTTAACTTCTATTGGGATCTAAGCGATATTCCAGATTTTTTTCTTAACTTTTAATGGATCATTTTTAATTAAAGGTCAGTATGCCGAAGTTAAAAGACTAAGACGGCTTAAATCTGATATAAAGATCCTTCTTGGAATCAATTCAGAAATGGCAGACCCATTTAGTCAAATAGCACAAACTGCTGAAAGTATGGAAGAATTCGTTGTTAACTTACTACTTTTTGTAAGAAAGAATGATTTTGATGGTATTGATCTGATGTTTGACTTCCAAGGTTCTCCTGGTAACAAGGCCAAATTCACAGACCTGATTAAGGTGTGTACAATATCTACGTACAATGTTAATGTATTCTTTACAGATACGGATCCAGGAGGCGAAGCTCCCAAACAAGGCAATGTTTGGAGTGCCCCCTGCCCTCTAAATCCGTTTCTGCTTTAAAGAGGAAATATTGGCGACTATAGTATTTTCCAAGAGCGTAGACGTTGTTTTTGTTTTCCTGACAGGAGTGTTCTGAACGAGGGCAAAAGACATGACAGTTCTTTCACGAGTACTTACTATTAGATACAGAAAGTTCTATTTTTGAAATAAATTTGGAATTACAATTTAATACATCTAAGAGCTAACTTGTAAATATGCTATAAACGGTTGCATGAACTTACTCATACATGATGGAAAACACTCGCACTTATATGAGATTAAACAAAGTCTTAAATAAACACATGTCCTTTAAAATGTATAAACAACCTTAATAGTCTAAAAAGTTTGAATATATTTTATCTTACACATTCCCCAAACAATAACTGATTTCGGCCGTCCGCACAATATGATCACACATATAATATTATGTGAATGCATTTTGAGATGTGCCTAAGTTAGTTATATCATTTAAAAACGTCATATCAGTTAATTAGAAATTTAAGTTGTATTTTAAATATCAGTATTTAAATTTTTGAATGTTTATTTTAAATGTTTGACGAAGGTTTTATTATATAAGACACTTTTTAATCGAAAATCACAGTTACGAATTTTTATGCCTTCGTTATGCATGCTTTACACACTTTCTCCTTGAATGCTATCGTTATCAATAATTTGACCGAACATCTTCTTATATCGGCCTTAAAGTGTATCACACAAAATTAGCTTGGAGAAGCATTCATTATAATTTATTACTTTGAAAGGTGAAAACAAAAGAAATTTTCATGGTGAAGCTTTGTCAAGTTTGAATGTCTATAATTAATGTCCTAAAAGTTTCCAATCAATTACATAGAATACTGAAATATAACCCGAATCACTAATATTTATGCAGATAGAATTGCCGAAATCAAGATTTCAAGATTTACACAATGTAGTGTCAAAATTGTAAAGTCTTCTCTAAATGTAATATATTTATGCTGTATATTGAACTGAATGATAAAGACTAATGTTAGCATTCTCGAGGAAAACGTGTTTACTAGTATTTGATTTTTCAAGCTTACAAAGCACTATATGATTGTGTTTTCTAGGGGGAAAATTATCAATTTTAAATTAACATCGTTTAATTGACATTATTTAATACCATTAGAATTTTGGTATGCTTATTTCTGTATGTTATATTTGGGTTACCAGACTCGCGGACCCGAGTGTGCCTGATAGGTTTTTTTTATAAGAATGCAATATCCGAATTTTGCCTTTATTTGCCAAGAACTTTTATTATGTTATTCTAAAGGAATATCTTCTTTTTTGAAGTCAATACGCCAGTTATTTGACTTGGATGCAAACACCATGAGTCGTCGTCCCTTGATTATATCAGCACGAGTATCACCGTTTGAAGTTGATGCTACTTCTCGATACGATGTTGCTTCTTTGAGTCAGTAAGTAGTATTTACTTAATTCACATACAGATATTGAGGTATACCGACGTCCAAATACAATATCACGTGCATCGGAAACATATACATTTACATACGTCATCCGTTAAATGACCCAGAAAGAAAATGGAAAGTGTCAAAACCATGACAATGTCAAATCCTGTAGTAACATTTTGAAACTATGGAAAACCATTTGATTTATATTCTAAACAATTCTCCAGAATTTAGACGATACGTACTGTTTAAACCATGCATGTTTTTTCTTTAAAATACAAAAATGCAATGTATTGATTCACCTGAAGTAATTCTTACAAATTCCAAAGTTTAAAGTTATCATTGTCGGTTTGTAAACATTAAATTTAGAATTTCTGTCTGTAATCTTCATTCAAAACTTTTTAACAAAATAGTAGAAAAACAAACTCACCATAGACACAAGAATTAAAACTGCGTACCCCAGACGCGCGTTTCGTCTACAAAAGACTTCTCAGTGACGCTTGAATCAAAAATGTTAAATGACCAATTAAAGTACGAACGTTTAGCTTTCTCACTGTCAGTTTAAACTTCTCTGATGATTTTGTTATAGTGTTTGTTTTCTCGCGGACTGTGCATTTTCCCATTGACTCAATGTGGCGTCTTGTAGTTTTTCTAATGTAAATATACTTGACCATTGACAATTTGAGTTAAGAGTTCAGCTACCGATAGTAGAGTGTCAGACGAACGAATTCTGTATCAGCAGAATCAATACATTGAAAAAGCATTCACTTGTCTTATTTTGGGCAACTTTTGACTTTATGACGTGAGGGTTTGTCTATAACATCTTGTGAAAGAATTTAGTGCTTTAATACTTCAAATTTTATTGAACGTTCATTTAATGCTTTATGTGCTTCAAGTAATTGAGTTTAAAAGATGAACGAGCGAGTACTTATTAAAGGTTAATTTAGCTTCGTCACTTGTTGATGTCTGAGTTGAATTTATTCACAACTTGGCTATACTCGATGTTTTTTTGAGCTTGACACATGGTTAAGACACTATACTATCGGTGAAGGTTGCGTGTTGAGCTTTAATATTTTATAGATTGGATCGCTGTCTCATTGATATATAACCCTTATCTCCCTTTACTCATACCTATGAAAATAAGAAGATGCGGTATGATTGCCAATGAGACAACTGTCCACAAGAGACCAAATGACACAGAAATTAACAACTATAGGTCACCGTACGGCCTTCAACAATGAGCAAAGCCCATACCGCATAGTCAGATATAAAAGGCCCCGAAATGACACAAGTAAATGCCGGTTACATATAGATAAATAATTTGATCGTTTAGTTTAATTCAACTCAAGATAAAGACCCGTGAATGATGCATATTGTATCTTCATACCAGCATAGAGTACCTAGTGAGCGATCAAAGCTCCGCCATTTTTTGTACAAGGATTCGAAATTTAAGACATTCAAGTCTCTTTCTGTAGTATATGTCACATGTTTACACATCTATAATATCATTTTCAGATATCTGAACTTTGTCAATCTTGCTTCATTCAACTTTAACAGAGATTACAAATATAATATTGTTCATGGAAGTGCTCTCGATGCTGATAAATCGAATTCGTTCACAAATAATCTGAATGTGGTATGTTTTAATCTAAATAGTCGTACGCTGTTTTTGTCATGGAATAGTATGGCCGTATAACTTAATTTCTTTTTATGTTTCATGTTATGTAAAACAAGTTTGATTTTATCCATATTGTACGATCCTTTCCGAATAAAACAACTATTTCACAACTAGAAGCGTTAACTAATGAACATTATAAAAATCTAGTCTCCATTTAACGTATACCAAACCTCATTTACATCTTTGTAACAGAATAGAATAATGTTCAGTAAAATAAGCATTAATAGTGTGAGTATATTTTTACCCCAGAGTTTCCAAATAATGCCACATTGTTCATAAATTTGATTTGATTTTTTGGCAGAAAACATCCATAAACGTGTGGCTTAAAGCTGGTTTACCTAGAAACAAACTGGTAGTTGGAATACCTGCTTATGGTAATACATACGAAGCTTTACCGGGAGCACACATGATAGGAGCTACTGCATTTGGACTGGGAAAGGAGGGGCAATGGAGCCGTCAGGAAGGAAAACTGGCCTATTATGAAGTAATTATCAGTCACTTGAACTTGTTTACAAGAGATTCTCTTTATGTTTAGCTTTAATGTAAGATACAACCTTAAACTACTGCAAAGAGGATTTCGAAAACTTTTGCATTGTAGAATTGATAACTTGCCGTTAGTTTATAACATACAAATTTGTGATAATTTCTCTACTTTCCCGGTACTTAAAGTACACAATCACATACACTATCACGCACGTAGAGTGTGGTATTCCACATCATAAAAATCATTGTAATAAAAATCATCATTATTATTATCCTACACATTACTTGTCATTTCAGATTATATCATACTGCTTACTAAAGATATTTTTTTTTCTTAGGTTTGCAAGAATATTGGTAGCTACTGGACTCGAGTTATGGACACCACACAAGGCGTACCCCATGCATATTATTCTAATCAGTGGGTTGGATATGATGATATGAGCAGCGTACAACGAAAGGTAGGATCTGTGCAACTGTACGTTTTCCCCTTTGAAATTCTGTAAATAACTTTCTTCCCAAAAAAGTCTTCTTTTCAAATTGCTGTATATCATATTTGTTTTTCGTTCATTGTTTTGTACACAAATCAGGCCGTTGGTTTTCTCGTTTGAATGTTTTACATTTGTCATTTCGGGGCTTTTTATAGCAGACAATGCGGTATGGGCTTTGCTCATTGTTGAAGGTCGAGAGTTGTTAACTTCTATGTCATTCGCACTAGTCTCTGGTGGAGAGTTGTCTCATTGGCAATCATACCATATCTTCTTATTTTAATTGTATGTATGTCAAAGTAACCTAGTAACTGAAGACTAAATATTTAATATTAAACTGTCTTTATTAAGGTAACATTATAACATAGAGTATTATGAAATGATACCGTATTTTTACATCCAGCGCTTAGATGAATACTGCTGTATTTATCAGGACTGACAATAGCTACTATTGCCTTTTATTTAATGAGTCGTAAAATCACAAGATTACAAGTAGCGTCATTAACATTTCAATAAAAATTTAAGCCCTGAAAACAACAATAATGCAAAAAGTTCAAAAACCTCCAAATATGACATAAATGAATATTCAATTGTGTTCTAATGAATAACATGTCCATATTTTAAGCCAGTATAATTATGTTTCTAGCAATAAACAATTGCTTTATTTGGCGTCTTCCTTCCTTCGATTCTGAGTATCGGTTGTTTTTAAAACAGACCGGAATTTCCTTTTCCAAATTTCGGTTAAGCGATTTTTCCGGGTTTTCCAATCAGATCATGTGCCAGTTTCATTCCACATACACTTTTAATGAGAGTAGTGACCAGTTCCCCAAAAAAATTTTATTCATCTACTACCTTTAATCATTACCAATTTATATTTTTTTAGAAAGGTAATACATTATGTGTTTGTTTTCAGCCTTGAAAGTGGTGCATACTTCTTTAATTAATCAAAATTGTTAGTAGTACTGCTCATAAAAAACTTTTTAAAATGAAATAATGATTAATAATTTAAAAAGAAAAACTGATTAAGAATTTTTCGTTTGTTAACACTAAGCAAGGTTACACTGTTTTTCAAACGGTATCATATATCATCATTAAGAAAATCACAACACCGTTCAAAGTTTTCAATCTTATGTCGTATTGCGTAATGTTTTTAAGAGTTTTTGGCGAATTCAAGTTCACAGAGAATAAGTAATTACAAAGGAAAAGAACGGATAACCTTTTCCTGTTTCAAAAGTAATTGAGGTTTTAAAAGATTTTAGAAACATCACAAGTCCCTGAATAAAAGGAAAATAGTTGCCTTCATGTATTATGAATTTGATGTATCTGAAGTATGAGATGAACTAAACTGTGATAAATTTTTCTTTGAAATTTTGATTTAATCTCTTCAATAAATCAATATTTTTAAATTTAGATATTTTTTTTCAGACATGAATAACTTGCAATTAAGCAGTCAGTATTTCGTATAGCTGTCAGATATGATATCTTTTTAAACAATTAATGTGAGTAAAATGAGAAGAGGGGTGTTTCGAACAATAACCTCCCCCTTAAAAAAATCAACAAAAACAAACAGTGATGATTTTGTCCGTCTCTGAAACTATTTTATTAATTTATTTTGAAACGTCAATGTTGATTCCTGTTTTTAATATGACATATGTGATTACACTTTTCTCCAGATTGTAACAATGTATATTTGAAAATGAAAAGATAGCAAATAAGAAAAATCATTTCGTATAAGCACGGAACTTTCAATAAAGGCATGTAATTTCTGTCTTACAAAGAGCTTTAAAATGAAAAAAGTCAAACCCAAGAACATACATATTCATGAACAAAAATCAATTTTAAAGTAAAGTACAACCAAAACAACAATGATCAAGTACCAATACATATACAACAAAGACTACCACAGACTTGATGGTACCAATACAAAGAGAACATGTTGTATTATATATATTTGCGTTTCCTCTATATTTTATGATATCAGCATATTAGGTATTAAAAGGGAGGCAACAGATACCAGAAGGATATCTTTATCCAAACATTTGAATCTTGCTTTAATCAGCTGAGATCTAGATACAGAGCCTAACTGTTCTGTTGTAAGGTCAAGGTAGAAAATAGTTAATGTCAATAGTAAAGATTTTATTTGTAATTTTTCGTAAGGGTAAAATGTCAAATATACTTGTACATCATTTGTTTCTGCGGCTGTCATTTTTTTTTTAGCTGATTCTTTTTTTAATCTTTGATTCATTTAGTTTTACGTATCTTCTTATGTATTCATATACCACGTGGGAACTGGGAATCAAATGATATTAAATCGTTTTCTAATCAAGGAATAGTGGATTAATTTTGAAAATGACAAATATGCAAGTCTACTTTTTCTGCATGTATAATGCTTGAAAATTCTGTGGGATTAAGAAGTAAAATCCAAAAAAATAAACAGTTGAATATATGATAGATAAATACGGCTTAGTATGAAATCATAAATTTTCAAATGAATTTATTAAAATCGCCAAAAGTTCATGAAATTAAAACTTATTATAAATTATGATTTCATTCCAGATTGAGTACATTTTGCAAGAAAACTTGCTTGGAGTAATGATTGATGATTTAGGAATGGACGACTTTGCTGATAATTGTGGTGATGGCAGATTTCCATTGTTGTCAAAAATTAACGACGTTGTGTCAAAGACGACAACCCTAACACCAATAAGACCAACTTTTGGTCCTTTTACAGCCCGCCCTACAACTACCAAAACAACTACAACAACTACCAGGACGACCACAACACCAAAATCAACAACAACAACACCCAGAAAAACAACGACTCAACAATCTGTTAAATGTGGCATAAATGGTGAGCATAAATGTTAGATATGGTCTTTTCAGGAGCCTTTAAAACTTTCCATACTTTATTGACCGTTATTTGTTGTTAGAATGTAGATGAAAGCCTTCTTCCAAACAGTGTTTTATAAATTATAGCAGTGTGACTACATATTCACAATTCTCCACTAATACTAGTGATACATATACCAGTAGATACATGGATGTAGTGTTTACCGTCCATCTGTACCTTTCTGCAACAACTCGTAAAATACAACTGAATACATTGTAGTCAAACTTATAGCTCTACCTAATTTGAACGTGCATTTGTGCATTCTCAATCAAGTGTACATTCTATGGATTTTATATTTAAGTTGGACTTTGGAAGCATTGACACATTTCGTCTTTCAAACAACTAGTGCCAACAAAAAATAAATCGCCTCATCTTTGTTTTGCCAAATGCCAGTTAATGTTATATATATGTAAATAAGACATGAACACAACATTACAGAGGTCAACATATCACAGTCTCCAGCAATAGACGATTTCATAAAAGCTTTAAACCGTCCGAATTATGAAAAGTATGAATAAATTTAAAAGAGACAATCTAAGATCTGCCATTAAATTCAAAATTAAGTATTAAAACTTTTAGCGCTTTTTATGAACTCTTTTACTGAAGGTTTATTGATTAATTGGAGACATGACTACACAATTATAATAGAAAAAAGTATGCATTACACAGGAAACCACTGACTGACAAGTCCATTGTGTTAAAAACCATTTGTAACTCATACCATTAATAAGGCATCCTTACATAGCGGAGCGGTAATGTCAATTGTCTGACCAAAACATTCGATCCGCTCTCGATTGAACTTATATTTGAAAAGAAAACCAAACGGTTATAGACTTGTGCATGCTTACTTAATTTGTTAGCACTTATCATTGAATTATCATTTATTGTTCTCCTGACAGCGTTCAGCTGCGGCAGCACATAGGGGTCACCTATTGTCTTTGTCTCCTCCGTCGTCATTGTCAAACTTTGTTTAACGCAGATCCTTTAAACCATCTTGACATTGGACAGAATCTGCTTCAGGATATTAAACGGTGTACTTGTAATTCAAACTTCTGATGAAAATGGTTTTTGAAGTTTCACATACCAAAACATGGACGAAGCCAAATTTTACCTTTATCAATCTGTTAAATTGCATTTCCTCTTTGAACTTCTCAGGCATTTCTAATTTTATTATGGCTTCTCTTATGAATACGGACTGCGTCAGACAAACCATGGAATGCATTTCAAAAGATTTCTTTTAAAGGTAGTTTTGCTTACTTCTTTTTGAATCTGGATTTAGCATTCTGTGGATGAGATTCATATAGGAGTAAAATAGAAATTCGATATAGGAAAAGCCATTATTACATGAGTGTTTGTGGTGGTTATTTCATGATTTCGCCGAGAAACATCGATTTAGATTTGTTATTTTTATAAAAGTAAGAAGATTTACATTTAGTCATTTCTTCTTTAAACAAAGATTTTGCGGAATTTGTAAAAGACATATCCTGCCTTTATCGCACCTGTCATTGATGGATATAAACATATATGACTGCTGCACACACGTTGTCTTCTTCATATTAAACCTTTTAATGATAAATGGAATGTGAACACATAGGAAACCTCAATATAGAACAATTTGCTTCAAGTAGTTTTAAATAGATCATTCTTTAAAGTATTATCACGTTAACCTCAGTGCAATATACGTTATATATATTTCCAAATGATGCAACGTTTCATATTTGGTATAAGTTATTACTATCTGTACCTCAGTTCTTATATAGTTGACATGCCAATTTTAAAAAATTAACATAATATTCAAATTTATGCCGGTAGATGTATTCTAGTAATGATTGAAGTTGCAAAATGTTGTAAAACTATATTTTATGTTTAGGTCCAACGCTATGTAAACATGGAGCATTCTATGCAGATACATGTGACAAGAATGTCTACTATCAATGTTTATGGGGTAGACCTGTGAAAAAACGCTGCAATTGGAGTCTTGTATGGAATCAAGCAGGATTACGTTGTGACTATGCATAAAAGTTATTCAAGAATTTGACTTTGAAATATTGGATTGTCAACATTTGATTTTGTAGAAGTTGTAACCAAAACATGAGTAGAGTATCTTTTGTATATACTAATATATCATTTAAACATAATTTTAACATTTGTCTCTTTTCTATAGTTTGCTCTATAATTCAAGATTTATTCAATTTATTTTTTTTTTCATCAAAGAGAAAGTCAAATTGAATTTCATTTTTAGTGCATTCTGGACCTCTCTTCTCATAAAAATAACCAAAGCAACACGGTCACAAATTTTTTCCTGATAAGAACGAAATAAGAAAATCTAGGTTTTGTAGGGAAAAAATAAGATGTAATTGAAAAAAATAAGTCAAGTATAGAGACAACACCCGAGCCAAAAGGAGGAACACTAACAAATAATCAATATTTTACATAGAAAAACTAAAGATGGACGGACAAAAATAGAAATCATTAATGAAATTAGGCACCCGGAAGCGTAGCATCATCTTCGTCACCTGTGCGCTGAAGTTCATCTTGCACCCTATAATAGCGGATTGGTAAATAAACTCATCATAGATACCAGGATTGAAATAAATGTAACTCGTCTTACTAAAAAAACATTATTTCTATTAAAAATCGGTACGTACAAATAAATTAATTAATTTTATGACCGAATGTATAAGATTGAAAGGATAACAGTTACATATAGAAACAGCCAAGACATGAAATAAAAACATCACAAATGGTCAACACAGAAAACTAATGCAAAATCCACACGAACCCCTTTTATCACCTATCGCACTGATCGTATTGCTCATGCAAATTAAAATCCGAGGACAAATGTTAATACTTGTTTTCAGACATTCTGAATTTCGGCCAACGGAACGTCAAATATAGGAAGTGAATAGATTTGTTGTACCTATTGTTAAATATTTTTCATGACTGATCGAGTTTCATTTCAAAGTGTAATCAACTAGCAATTCATTTATGTTGGGGCGAGGTATCATTTTTGGAGCTTTGCTGACAGGATTTCTAGTTTGTACGTTTTTTTGCCATGGTTTAGTGTTCAGTACCTATCCTGTACTTGCATGTACTTATTTTAAGTCCGCTGATTGAAGTTTAAATGAGGAGTTGCGACACAAATGTCACCGCAGCTGCCTTATTGCTAGATATGCATTTCTTTAAATTCGAATGAGGTTGGGGTGTTTCAGAAACATGCACTGACAACACTGTGTTCATGAGTTTATAGTGTGTCTAATATCATATTGCGTAACTAAAATTCATTATGCATTTTTGAAAAGGAAAAGTTGTTCAACCGAAATTTTAATAAGTCTTAGTATGTACTGAGTTCCAAAAAATCAGATTCAGATCAGCAGGCGTTACAAAAAATGTTGATAAGTATAATTATCATGAAATTTTCAACGTCAATGAGCATTAACTCTGCCAAAAATTAATCATCTGGACCCTGCCACAAACTCGATCTGTAGTCATCACCATTATGCATTTTATGGCGTTACATAAAACAAATTGTTCCCGCTGCATGTTCATATGCCTGTTTGGGAGTCTCGTTAGTGGATTTCTTGTGTCGTAATTAAAACGTTGTTGCTCTCTGTAGAGTTTGGTGATGATGTCATACCTTCCTAGTTTCTGTTAAGATAAGTCTCAACTTAGTTAGATTCGGGACGTTTTGAGCTTGGCATGTTGTATAGATACATCTTTTGTGTTGAAGATTTTAATCGTTGCTGTTTCATCCCCGACATCTCATATATTCGTAGTTCAGAAATCAAGCGATTTTTTATTATTATAATAACATTTCTTTTTATCCTTCATTTAAAAAATAAAATTGCCTATATTAAAGTGTAAGTTGAACTCTATTTAACTCAATTACATGTGAACAAATTAAGATGTTAATTTAACTGATTTCCATTCTATAAGATATAAGATTAGGATAATGTCAACAAAGTTCTTATAGCCAAATGGCATAATATACTTTTTTAAATATTGAATACCATGACGTGGTGGGTAAAAAAATGTCTATTTATTTGCCTTGTAATCACCTGACGGATAATAAGGACAACAACAAATATCATTTAAAAAACTTTATGAACTATCAATTTGTCTTTGTGGTTGTTAAATATAACTTGAAAAATGAAAACATCCTAAATACAAAATTATGATATGTACAGTAAATTGTTTTCATCAATATCCGGAATAGTAGGTTGTCATATGAATTATCATTAAGTTTGATTATAAAACCCTTGTGAACATCATCATAAACATCATTGTAACTTCCAGCCCAAGGTCGTGTTGGAGCATCACTTGCATCAATGTAAGTATCGCGGAGTCCTACTTTATTGGATGGTAGTGCAGCGCGCGGAAACCCATCTTTCATTTCATTCGAAAAAATTAATAAAGGATGTCTTCTCTTTTTCCTAATATAAAAAATAACACGTAAGAAAAAAAATCCTGAAGTTAACAGTGAAGAACACTATATCCATATATTGTCTACACTTAAATCAGTCTTTACTTGTGCAGTGTCTTTGCTTAGTACTGCATGAATATAAAGATCACATGTTGATTATTATTATAATCAAATATTCATTACCACGTCTTTAATGGATTCAATGTTTAAATATATGTTGAAGAGTTTATGTTGTGTTATTGGTTTTGGTAGGCGGCTTACTTATGTAGTAATTGCGCCTTAAATTCACATAACATAAATATTATGTATATACGCTCATTCTTTAATTTATTTTTAGTATTACATTTTGGCGAGTAATCATATGAAACTGTGACGAACAGGGTTTGACTGTGTAACAATAAAGTATGTATATGGAAGAAAAAAAGGTAAAAGGAAAATGAAAAAAAACCAAAAAAAAAAAAAAAAATGATAATTCCTAATGAAATGTAAATTATTAACTGATAGGTATCATAAAATTGGTTAGAAATTTCATCTGCTTGTTCACCTTTGTGTCGTCTATGATATACTTATAAAAATAAAGTATAGTAAGGTAAATAGAACAAGACATGTGCTAGTTAAATGCTACCAATGTAAGGACGTCTCCCACGATTGATGTAGCAGATAAAGAATCCTTTAGTAAGGATTGATATTTTGTAGTTGTTACTTTTCCATAACGGTCGCGTATATTGTTCCAAATAAATTTCCAAAGACATACTGGTATTTAGTGATTCCTCCTTCCCTGACGAGAAAAAAAAACCACTTCTGTCATTGAATGAGAAATCACCGCTACCTACACCATTAGTCGCCTTTTTAGATATATATACATGTTATATATATAAGAAGTAAAAATAGAAAAATATGAAAAAAATTTAATACCAGTATATTATAAAAACAATGCAATTGTTTGAATTTGTTTTAAGTACAGAGATTGTCAGCGAAACAATAGTGCAGGGATGTGCATATATATACAATATTCTGTGTGTGTTTGTCTAACTGACATCCTCTAATACAAATTTTAGTTTTTATCGATTTATTGTCATAGAAAAGGATTTAGTACATGTTTCTATTCTGATATATATGAGCTTATTGTGTTTGTTTGTTTTCCTTATTTTCTAATAATATGACTGTTATTGTCAGTTTGTAGAAATCTGAAAGTGATATTGTATTTTCTTGTGTTCTTATTTTTCCTTTAGCTTTCATATTTTCTAATAATATGTTTGTAATTGTTAGTTTGTGAAAATTTGAAAGTGATATTGTACTTTCTTTTGTTCTTACTCTTCCTTTAGCTTTTAACATATACTGTTAAATTATTAAGACAAATTTTAGTGACACTTTCATAGAAAAGGCTGTAGCAAATGGTTCTATTCTTAAATATATTAGCTTAGTGTGTTGTTTTTGCTTGCTCGTTTTTCTTAATTTCTAAATATATGACTGTATTTGTCCGTTTGTGAGAATCTTAAAGTAATATTGTATTTTCCCCCTAGCCTATACTGTTAACTTATCTAGTGTCGGAGTAACTACTAATCTTCAATAGATCAGAGTGTTTTACTTGAATTTTTGAGACTTTTTAAAATTTATTGTGTGCATTGCGTGGTCAGTTACGTACTGGTTACGTACTGGCGTTTGAAAGATGATTGATCTACTGATGTACAACACAGGTAGAAAAAGTCTATTTAATCAAGCTCAATGGACTGACACAAAGGTGAAGTGTACATTGCACTTGTGACTTGCTTATCATTATTCTATGGATATTAAAAAAGAAAAAGATTTCAGATTCGGTTGAGTTTTATCTTTAATCGTGCTTGTTGTGTAACTTGGTGAAATAATTGAACTTGAGAGACCATCTGAGAAATATGTCATATAGACAGGTTACAAAAATATATTTTATAATATCTAAAGACTAAATGACACTTATTTGAGAATCTTCATTATTTACTAATAAGTATATTAGTTTCCCGTAAATAGTTATATACGGGACTAAAAGTATGTGTGTATCCGTATAGAAGGTGTTTCAATGAGAGGTCTATGGCTCCATGATTTTTTAGCGTCTCAAACATCTGTTTTCTTTGCGCATCATTTTTTGAGCAGACTAATAGAAAGTGTACAACATCGTCTGTGACTTTGCAGTTTTCACAAATTTCACGCGGACTTTTCCCTGTTTTGTAAAGATATTTATTGACATTAATAGAGCCAGATCTTAATCTGAATATGATTCGTTCATTTTCTCTATTCATTTGTGGAATAGTAATCTTAAAAGATACATTATTTTGGATGGAGTGTAGTAATCTTTCCTTTGGGTTGTCTGACCACTGTTTTTGCCATATTTGTTTTAAAATGGTTTTTGTTGAACATTTGATGTCTTCCTTACATAGGGGAATATGACAATCTATTGTACCTTTATTAAGAGCAACTCTGGCTGTCTGGTCTGCAATTTCATTTCCGAAAATTCCGACGTGGCTTGGGATCCACTCAAATATTATTTTACTACCTAGTTTGACAAACTGGTTGTATAAAAATATAATATCGTACAATAAATAATGTTTGACCTTAAATAAATTACTCTTTAAGGCATGGAGAGCTGATAAAGAGTCGACACACACAATCACATTATTTGGTTTAAAGTCTTCTACCCATATAAGAGACAGAAATATTGCCATAAGATCACAAGTGAAAATTTACATATTCTTATGCAGTTTGAAACCATTTTTTATTTCCCATTTCGGGTAGCCTATAGCAAACGCACATGAGGTATTATTAGAATTTGGATCTTTAGATCCGTCCGTATATATTTTTTTAAAAAACTGGCGATATTGCGTATCAATCATGAAGTTACTTTCACTTCGAATTAATTGTGGATTGTCCTTTTTCGAGATGAGCATTGAGAGTTGTGAACATACACGTGGTTTAAACAAATTCCAAGGGGGGGGGGGAGGGCGGGGGGGGGGGGGGGTGGAAATTGTTGGTTTTTATATATTTGGTTAATATCTATATCATTTTGATTAATCATATCTTTTGAAACAATAAAATACGGTTTTCTAGTCTGTTTAATTTTCCTGGAGTAGCATAGAAATGTTGCTTTTTTGCTAAGCTTTCCTTAGTTTGATTATCTTCATGACTAGACATATTCAAGAAAGATTTAGTAATTAGGCACTTCCTACGTTCTTCGTAGGGTGGGTCACCCATTTCTACTTGCAGTCCACTAGTGGCTACATTTTTATATGCAACTGTACAAAATCGAATTGCTTGACTTTGCACCCGGTCCAAAAGGAGTATGGCCACGAAGTGCTAATATTGGCCCTGTGAGGTGACAAAAAATAAAAGAGAAATAAGGTGGATCCTTTATATCTAAAACATATCTACGTATATCGTTATTTGTTATTATAGTATAAAATCATATTTTTGTGACGTCATTAATGTGACGTAATACCCGGAATCAAACCGGAACGCTCAATATGTTCAAATTCTTAAAGAATTTCACACTTCCTGATTAAATTTCGCATTGGAAACAGGCCTCGACCAATGTAATGTTACTCTTATTTTGATTGTTTGACACTTTGACTCAGTTTGCAACAATATTTAGCGTGGTCGAGGCCTGTGTCCACATCGAAAATTTAACTTTTGCTAACTAGCGTATCCTGAATTAACGCCGCCATTTCCGAGGAACGATAGATTCTTTGACGTAATAATTGTACCAAGGACTTGTACAACTGCTATAAAATGGAAATAAATTCTATAATTAATTATTTTTTTTATTGATAACAAACAAAAAAGAAGAAAATGGAATAACAAGTCTTTGTTTTTAGCGAAGCTTCGTTAACCGCCGACCCGGCGAGGTTTTTAAACACGAATAAATACGTCCTCCAACTTCCGAAGCAAGGTTGTCGGCTCTCCGGACTTTCCCGAAGTCCTGCGTTTAACACCCTTGCCATCAACTTCCAAGCAAGGACCGAAGCTCATAAACTCGGCAATCAATCCTTGCCGTCACCGGTTTTATGTATTTTCTGCGTCACTAATCGTTTATGCGGACTTGCTATTTTGTACTGTGACGTCACGATATGGAAACTGTCAGTTTCTATTGTAATCGACAAGCTTTCAAAGGGACACTACTCTTTGTGGTCGGAACTACTTTTTGGGGTTTACACCAAATACTCCAAAAAGGAAAAAGAATGAATTGACACTGAAAATACACGATTCGATTTATTCAAATTTTAATTACCTTTTTTACTTTTCAATATGTATTTTCTTCAAGTTTGCATTTTATTAAATGTAGAGTTAAATGTATTATTAAAATGAAAAAAAAAAACATTTTCTTGATGTCAAAAGCCGAACCTGCAAGTGGAAACGAAATGACCTGAAAAAATTCTACTATTAGACTTTTCCAAACTTCAATTTCTTTTTTTTAAATGGATTTCCCCCAAGTTAAGATTTAGGAAAATGAACATTATAATTTGCCAGAAAAAAATAAAACTTGTTTACAGATATGCAATTCATAGAACTGCCTATTATTTCAAACAAATTCAATTTTAACATATTTTTTTTATTTTAAAGCTATGTGATTGAGTTTGTTAGACTGTATAATTTTTTAAAAATTAATATGCAATGAGATTTGTAACAGATTTTTTTCATTACACAAATCTGAGATTTTACTCTTATGCATACATCATACGGTAGCATTAAACTTTGATTGATTTTTGAAGTAGTTTGAACTACATGTTTTGATATAATTTCTTGCTAGAATTGGATGCTCACTTTGACTGAAATTTTTTTTTAACGATTATATGTGTCTCAAATATTGTTACTGTTATCTCATTCGACTATATATATATATGTGTAATAATTTAATTCTTTTATGTTGACAATGCACATTTTCGTAATACTTAATACAAAATTATATAATAAAGTTCATTCAAAGAACCGGCAAATAATAAATTCGCTATATTGTCGGCGCCGGCAAAAAAGCTATTCCTAGAG